GGGTTCGAACCGGTAGTGACCCCCCCCTGTTTTCGAGGGGGGGGGGTTCGAACAGGTAGTGACCCCCCCCCCTTTTCATGTTGGACTTGGGGGGGGGGGGGTTCGAACCGGTAGTGACCCCCCCCCTGTTTTCGAGAGAGGGGGGGGGACGGGTTGGGAACCCCCAGTGACCGCCCCCCCCACTTTCCGCCAACAGCGGTAGAACACGCCCTTTCCCTACTTACAAACCCCGTCCCTCAGGCTACCGTCAGCCAGCCAGAACCAATTCGAACCGCCCCACCACACACATCCTTGTCAACAACAATACGAAGCACACTTTGGGGCAAAATTTTGGGTCATGCTCGTGTGCCCCGCGAGCATTCTGTATTGTTCCCCACATCCTAAGTGGGGTTATTGTTTTCTCTGCACACCCTCCGCGCAGGATCTCTCCTCCTCCTCCTCCTCCTCCTCCTCCTCCTCCTCCTCCTCCCTCTCCTCTCCTCCTCCTTGCTTCCTCCTCCTCATCATCATCACCATCACCATCACTCCCCACTCATCATCATCATCACCATCAGCATCACCATCAGCATCGCACGATCACTCATCATCAGTATCGCACGATCACCATCATCATCATCATCATCATCATCACCACCACCACCACCACCACCATCATCATCATCATCATCATCATCATCATCACTACACGCTCACTCATCACTTCGTGATCATCATCACCACCAGTCACCATCAGCATCGCACGATCAGTCATCATCATCACTCATCATCATCATCACCATCATCATCACTCGATCACTCACTCACTGACTCACTCATCATTATCATCATCACTCACTCACTCATCATCATCACTCACTCATCACTTCGTCATCACTCACTCGTTTGTGAGTGAATTGTGAGGAAGTCTCAGGCGGGCGCCCCCTCCCTATGGGTCCCGCACGTCATGTTGGTAATCCGAGCGGGTCATCGGCAACCTGTAACTGTCGTCACTGTTGGGCTCCTCAGACCTGCATTTGGAGGAATTATCAAGCGGGAGCCTCGTCTGTGAGTGAATTGTGAGGAAGTCTCAGGCGGGAGCCCCGTCCCTATGGGTCCCGCACTTCATGTTGGTAATCCGAGCGGGTCATCGGCAACCTGAAACTGTCGCCACTTTTGGGCCCTTCAGGCCTTAATTTGGAGGAAGTATCAAGCGGGAGCCTCGTCTGTGAGTGAAATGTGAGGACGTCTCAGGCGAGAACCCCTTCCCTATGGGTCCCGCACTTCATGTTGGTAATCCGAGCGGGTCATCGGCAACCTGTAACTGTCGTCACTTTTGGGCTCACCAGGCTTGAATTTGGAGGAAGTGTCAAGCGGGAGCCTCGTCTGTGAGTGAACTGTGAGGAAATCTCAGGCGGGAGCCCCCTCCCTATGGATCCCGCACTTCACGTTGGTAATCCGAGCGGGTCATCGGCAACCTGTAATTACTCCGGAGTAGGTGAGGGCAGAACGGCGGGCGAGAGGAGAGTGTCCGTCAGGGCGAAGAAGAAAAGGGTAAGGGCAAGCTAAACAGATTATCATGTGGGTTCCTTCCGTCGGAGTATTTTTTGCCCAGGACGGCAGGGGTGCCCTAATATCCCTTGCTTTGCGCGAGGCCACGATCCTGGTCAAAAACCATACAACATGCACTTAGCGGCTACATCTTAATCATGCGCGGCCACGCCGCGATCACTGCCCATTGGTGTTTGACAAAGACTGCGGAGGTGCTGGCATTTTGCCTGCCGTGTGCAGGCCCACCAGACACCATGATGTGCTCCCCGCCGCGATTGTGCACTGGTTGCTTTTCGACAAGGATGATGGGGGGCCGACATGTTTCCCGATGTGTGCTGTCACGTGCGCGGGCACACCTGGCACATTCTGCGCGTGCCCACGACGTGGAGCACCTGGCGCGGCTTGACCATGCGGCACGCATGGCGCACGTGGAGCACGTGGCGCATCTGGCGCGCGAGGCGTGCCTGGCAAGCTCGGGCCCCAGGGGTGCCTGGCGCATCTGGAGCGCCTGGCACGCGTGGCGCACCTCGCCCCTGCGTCGCGCGCATGGGGTCTCCATTGGTGCCCAGTACCTGACCGCCCGCAGACGACCGCTGAGCATGCTGAGGCTCGGGTGCTACCTATGTGTTGGGAGGGCGGGTCGGAGTAAGCGAGACAGCTTGCGGGCGGGGAGGGTGTCTTGACCCCTCTCCCTACCCCGTGCCCCTGGACCTGGACAGGGCATTCCGCGGGTAGTTGGAGCGTCAAAAAAGGCATCGGCGAGAAGACCTAAATCACTCATGTTATCCAGGTTTTGGCCACATGTTGGCATCCTGCTAGGGAGCCTGAGCCTACTTGAGTACGGCCCGTCCTTTGATCGACCTCCTCCAAGGTGGCCCAAAGGGGACCCCCGAGGCTCCCAAGGGTGCCCCAGGAAGTACGGCCTCAAGAGGCGTCCAGGAGGCCCCAAGAGGCCCTAAAGAGGCCCCCAAGATGCCCCCAAGAGGCTCCCAAGAGAACCCCAAGAGTCCCCAAGAGGGCACCCAGAGGCACCCACGAGACCCCAAGCGGCCTCGGAGAGAAGGCCCAAATCATTAATGGTATTCAGGTTTTGGCCACATGTTGGCCTCCTACAAGGAGGACCCTGATTCAGGAGACCCCCATCCTTTGATCGATCTCTTCCACGATGGCCCCAAGGTGGCCCCCGAGGCGTCCAAGGGTGCCCCAAGACGGCCCTAAGGGGCGCCCAGGAGGCCTCAAGAGGCCCCCAAGACGCTTCCAAGATGTCTCCAAGAGGCGCACAAGGGACCCCAAGAGACCCCAAGAGGCCCCCCAGAGGCACCCAAGACGCCCCAAGGGGCCCCTGGGACTGCCAAGAAACCTCTAAGACGCCCCAAGAGGACTCCAAGAAGCTCTCGAAAGACATTCGAAGAGACTCTTAGAGGCATCATGGGGCCTCTGGCCTTTTTTCCCGCCCTCCTCCTCCTCCTCCTCCTCCTCCTCCTCCTTCTCTTCCTCCTCCTTCTCTTCCTCCTCCACCTCCTCCTCCTCCACCTCCTCCTCCTCGTCCTCGTCCTGGTCCTCCACCTCCTGCTCCTTCTCCTGCTCCTCCTCCTCCTCCCCTCCTCTCCTCTCCTCCTCCTCCTCCTCCCTCCTCCTCCCTCCTCCTCATCCTCATCTCATCCTCCTCCTCCTCCTCCTCCCTCCTCCTCCTCCTTTCTCCCCTCCTTCCTTTTCCTCATCCGCCTATTCTCCTCCTTCCTCCTCCCTCCTCCCCCTCCCCCTCCCCCTCCCCCTCTCCCTACAGTTCCTCCTCCTCCTCCTCCTCCTCCTCCTCCTGCTCCTTCGATTCCTCCTCCATCCTCCCCTCTTGGGGTATGACGTCTAATCCAGCCCTGTATTTCACTGCATACTCCTCAACAACCCTGATCAAGGCAACTCGTCTGAACATCGTTTCTGGATGCGCTGGTGGGGTTACTTGTTTGGTTTTCGGGCGCGCGAAGACGAGTCGAACGCCGAGCAAGCTAGGGCGGGCCGCGCCACAAGCTAATGTTGGTGGGGTTCCGCGAAGCGTCTCTAACATGCGCGAGCCTCCGAAAGTTCATGTTCATGTTTATGCCATTGTGGCGGTCCTCCTCTTCCTACCCATTCGCAGAAGAGCAAGCGGGGGCGACGTGGGAGTTCCTTGGGCGCGCTTTGGGGGCGCCCTGGTGATCTGATTTGCCGCCAGCCGCTATGCGGAAACATGAACGTTCGGAGGATTGCGCTGAATTTTTGGATCGGCGCTGGGCCCCCTCCCTGACGCGCGGAGCACGCCACAGGTGGCATCGGAGACACGGGGCGAGCCCCAAGCGCCGATCCGATAAATACGCGCGGGCCTCCGAATGTCTTATGTCAATGTGGTTGTCCTCCTCCTTCCTGATGTCTAGCTTTGTGCCGTGTTGTTCACCTTCGTTTCGATGTTGTTGATTGCCTCATCCTCCTTCGTTTTGTGGTTGTTTGCTTTGTCTTGTTATGTTTCGCTCGTCGTCATGTTGTGCTCTTTCAATTCGCCAATGTTCGATTCGTCCCACTTCGTTGCAACCGCTTTCGTTGCGTCTTCTCTCGCTTCCTCGTTTTTCGTTTCGTCCTCTTTCGTGTCGTTCCCTTTCGTTTTGTCCTCTTTCGTTTCGTCATCGTTCATTTCGTCGTCACTCGTTTCGTCCGCTTTCGTTTCGTCCTCTCTCGTTTCGTCCTCTTTCGTTTCGTCCCCTGTCGTTTCGTCCCCTGTCGTTTCGTCCCCTGTCGTTTCGTCCGCTCGAAACGCGCGCGGAGCGGACCAGCGCGCGTCGAACGGGCGAATTGAAACTGGACGAATTGACCCCGGACGCATTGAAACCGGACGAATCGAAACCGCACGAATTAAGGCCAGGACGAATCGACACTCGCTCGTGGCGCGCGCGCGCGACGCGGACCAGCGCGCGTCGAGCGGGCGAATTGAAAAGGGACGAACTGAAACCACATGCATGAAACCAGACGAAATTAGCAGCGGACGAATTGAATTCGGACGAAAACAAGCAGCGGACGAGATGAACCTACACGACTTGAACAGCGGACGAATTGCAACCGGACGAAATCGACGGACTAATCGAACAGGAAGAACCGAACAGGCCGAATCGAACAAGACGAATCGAACAGGACGAATCGAATCGGACGAAATGAAAATAGGACGAAATGAAGGGGAATCACCCGAGGCACCCAGGATGATCCTGAGCCCCTACGTAAAGAGCTGGCAAGAGGCTCCCAAGACGCCCCAACAGGTCTCAAGGAGTCCCTCAAGAGACACCCCAAGAGACCCAAAGCAACATCCAAGGGGCCTCTGGACCACACAAGCCCCGGAGATCTCCAGATGATGCCACGCTCCCCTAGTCAGGGCAGCTAAGCTGGGCATCACGTCTGGATGGGCTGGTGGGAATTTGCGAGGCGTTACGGACATTCCTCCCTCCTACTGACAGCGGGGGCGACGCCTGGATGACGCTCAGTGGGAACTTGAAGTCCAGACTGAAGGTCGTGGGTCCGATCTTGCCATACTGGCAGACTACCTCGCGATACCGCAAGCAGGGAGAGATAAAGCGAAAGCGTTATGCACTGCAGAAACAAGAACACGTCCATCCGTGAACCGCAAAAGGCAGACGCCACACATACAATTCGGCGCACGAGGTAGCTCTGCGAGCGAAGGCGATGGCTGCAGAGCCCGCAGCATGGCATGCAGGATGGCGTGTGCGCCTCCTCCTCCGCCTCCTCCGCCTCCTCATCATCTGTCTCATATGTTTTGTTTCCTTCTACTCATTCCCCTCCTCCTTCTCCGCCGCCTCCTCCTCCTGCTCCTCCTGCTCCTGGTGAAAATTTCCCAATCCTCCTGATGGTCCTCAATATTATTAAGTGTGTCCGATGCGATCCTCTGGCGAGGAAAAAAGACTGTCGCAGTGTGGAAATGGACAGCGCACACCGCCCCCGCGACATGCTAGACTCGGCTTTGCGGCTCCACAACCCTCTCGGAAAATTCCCAGAGGCCCCCAGACCCGCCAAGAGGCGGGCAGAGGCGTTTGGGGACCTCTTCGGGGGCGTCTGGGAACCCTCTTGGAGCGTCTGGGGGGCGTCTGCGGGGCGGGTCTGGAGGCCTTCGCGGGGCGCCTTGCGAGCGTCGTGGGCCACCTGATGGCTACCACGGGCGGTTGGGAGTGATTTTCCGGCGGTTCGGGGCCCCGGGAGGCCCCAGCAGCCCCCCAAGAGGCCCTGAGGATGCCCCAGAACTGCCCCCCAGCCCCCCCGAAGGCGTTCCCAAGAGGCCCCAAGAAGCACCCCCGAGCACTCTGACCCAAAACCCTGCAAGGGTGGCGCGACGGGCCGAAGGCAATACATATACAGATACGCAAACACACGCACACACGCACATACATCTACATATGTATACATACACACATACACGTACATACATACACACATACAAACATGCATACATACATACATACATACATACATACATACATATGCGTGCGTGCTTTTTGCTGGCCATTGGTTTAGTATTCCGCCCCCCCTTTCATCTGGTCCCCTGCGATCATGCCGGCTGCCATTTGCCTTGGCTTCCCCTGCTTATGTGCCCTTCCCTGCGATCACATCATTTGCCTTGGCTTCGACGCGCTCCACGGTTGCATCCTTATGCCCCCCCCCCCTTCATCTGCCCCCCGCTCTCCGTCGCCCCCCCCCCCCGCCCCCCAACCCTCGAATCCCCCCCCCCCCAGCGGGGCAGCGAGACCTCGGGCTGGGGGCGGCGGGGCAACGCGGGGTCTCTTATTGTTCTCTCGCGCTGGATCCCAGATTCCCTCTCTCTCTCTCGCTCTCTTTTTCTCTCTCTCTCTCTCTCTCTCTCTTTCTCTCTCTCTCTCTTTCTCTCTCTCTCTCTCTCTCTTTCTCTCTCTCTCTCTCTCTCTCTCTTTCTCTCTTTTTGTTTCTCTCTCTCTCTCTCTCTTTCTCTCTCTCTCTCTCTCTCTCTCTCGCGCCGGGGGAGCAACCAGGCCGGGGCAAAGCAGCTGGCGGCGGCTCCCCGGCGCGAAACCACAACAGCCCGCGAGCGACAAGAACGCCAGAACATTAGGCGGAGGAGGACGAGGAGGAGGAGGAGGAAGAGGAAGCGGGAAGAGCGGCCATCCGGCGGGAAGGGAGGCAGGGGCAAGGGACGGGGGCGGTCGGAAGGCGGCGGTCGTGGTGGCGGACGGGGCGGTCGTAGAGGGCGTGGGGGCGGCGGCCCGGTGATGGCCGAAGTGGTCAGGGTGGTCGTAGTGGTCGCGGCGCTGGTCGTCGTCGTCGTGGCCGCCCGCAGTGGTCGTCGCAGTGGTCGTGACGGTAGGCGAGCGCAGTCTGGTGGGCGTGGTTGTCGTAGTGGTCGTAGGGCGGCGGTCGCAGTGGTGGTCGCGGCGGTCGTAGCGGGCGTGGGGCGGGCGTGCGAGTGGTCGCCGCGGTGGCGTCGGTGGTCCAGTCGGAGCCGGTGGGTGGCTCACGTCGCACTCAGCAGCTTTTCAGCGTTGCCGAATGCGAGGCACTGCTGCATCTTTCTCCACGTTGTAGAGATCACAGCGGACCGGTCGGCATCTGGCAGGTCCCGGCCGTAGGAGCGCACGGAAGCGACCAGCTCGTCCGCCGGCCGGCCCCCAGTCTCCAAGACGGCCGGGATGAGTTCCCCTCCGGCCGGGGGGTAGCGCGCCCGCTTTCTCTCGACTGCCTGGGCCGCCGCCACCCCGTCCGTGCGAGCCTTGGCCTGCCTGCGAGCGTTGTTGTCGCTGCGTTCGCAGGTGACGGACCAGTCCACAAAGATTGGGGCGTTGGTAGCGGGGTCGCGCGTGGCCACGTCGAGGATGGCCGCCTCCCAGGCTCCAGTGTCGGGGTGCTGGCGGCCCCAAGCAGGGACTCGCTGCTCGGTCGTGGCCCTGTGGCCCGTCTGAGCACAGTGCCAGGGCCCGCTCCAGTCGCGCAGGGAATTGCGCCTGTAGCCCCTGCTGCCCCCGCACCCGCACTTCCGGGCGTGCCAGCTTTTGGCGCCCAGCGCTTCTCCGCAAAGCGAGCCGTCCTGCTTGCTACCAGCACTGGGCCCCTCTCAAGCACGACGAGGACGGGGCAGAGGCGGTGGCCAACACGCTGGCTCGACTGGCCATCGGGGACCTCCCCTCCGAGGCGCTAGCCGCCATGACGGCGGCGCGCCTCACAGGCATCCCCAAGGCAACCCCTGGGGATGTGCGAGTCCTGGGCCGTGGAAACGTCACCCGCCGCATGGCGGGCCGCAGTGCCGCCAAGGCCCACCACAAGGACATGCGGACGGCGGTGGGAGACCAGCAGTTCGGCCTCGCCAAGGACGGGCGTGGTGCACTCCATCGACGCCTATGCACGATGGCCAACTCGAGCCCAGGCAAGTGGGTGGTGGCGGTGGACCTCGGGGACGCGTTCAGCAACATCCCCCGCGACCTGGTGAAGGGGGCCGTGCGCACCAAGGTGCCTGCGCTGGCCCCGTCGGCGGAAGCCTGGCTCCCCGCCCGAACACGCCACGCGGCGGGGGGCAGGTCGCAACCCGCCCAGCTGGTCGACCAGATCCGTGGCCTCGACCAGGGCTGCCCGATGAGCCCAGGCTTCTACGCGGTCGGCACCACGGACATTCTCAGCATCGGCCGCATGGCCGTGCGCGCGGTGGACATGGAAGGGGACCGCTTGGCCTTCCTGGACGACGCGTACTTCGTGGGCACCGCGGCCGCTGTGTTCCGCGGCCTGGATGCGTGGCGAGCCCGCATCGAAGCCCACGGGGTGAAGCTCAAGATGTCCAAGACCCAGATATGGCCCCCCGATGCACAAGCTGTCTTGCCGCCCGAGTTTACAGAGCACGCCCAGTGCCGCGCCCAGAAGCTCAAGGCGGTGGGGCCCACCCTGGCCTACACGAACCACGACGCGGACACCGACTGGAGGGGCGCCCCACTCACGGACTTCACCGCCCCAGAGGACCTCGACGAGGGGGGGCCACGGGCAGGCTGGCGGCGCCGGGGCCGCCCCGAGCGCCGCCACGCCACCCCCCTGCGGCGAAGCCTTCCTCCAGAAGCAGGACCGCTACTTCAAGGAGCTTCTGGCGCTGCGCAGGCATGGGCTCTCTGCCTTTGACGCATTCCAATTGATGCGGATCTGGTCGAGGGGCGCCTGCGTCCACATCCAGCGGGCGCCCCCGCTCACGGCGGCGTGGAGCCGCAGGGTGGACGACGGAGCGGTCGCCTTCGCCAACGCCCTGCTCGGAGTCACGGCGGCCCCCCGAGAGCAGATCTTCATGAAGGTCAGCGACGGAGGTCTGGGCTGTGGCAGCGCTGAGCAGCGCGGCCCAGCCGCCCTCCTGGCATCCTGGGAAGCTGGGATTCATGCGGCAGCCCAGGAGCTCCGATAATCGACAACGATCGGCCTCTTTCGGAGGTGGCCAGGCCTTGGCCGTGCCCTCTCAGCAGCAGACGAGGAGCAGGGGCGGCTGGCTGGCGGCCGTCGCCCTCAGAGTGACCGCTGGCAGGGCCTTCTGGAGGGGCGGAAGGGAAAGGACCAGAAGACGTACACCCTGCACGTGCGGGACCACGTCACCCAGACGTTTACAGCCGCGCTGCCAGTGACGGCAGCGGCGGCGGTGCACAGTGCCTCGGGCAGCTCAGCGGGCGCCCGGTTGGATAACTTCGAGGGGGTCTCGCCCCTCGCCGACCACGCGTTCTGCATTGCAGCCAAGAGGCGCATGCACCTGCCGCTGCTGCAGTCCGAGTGCACGTGCCTGAACCGACCAGCAGCGCCCACCCGCGCGATGGCGCAGCACGGCCCGACGCGCGGCCACACGGTGGACGTTCGGGGCGTTCATGCGCTCAACTGTCCCAGGGGAGGCGGCCCGACGCGCCGCCACAATGCCATCCGAGACGCCGTGGCGCCCTGGCTGCGCGGGGTGGGCCACCATGCCCCGCTGGAGCAGGTCATCCCAGAGTGGTGCACGGAGGAGCAGGGCGCGGCCACACTGGACGCGGTCTACCATCGAGGCATCCATGGCCGAGTTTGCCTCGACATCAGCTCGGTGGACAAGGTGGCAGTGGCCCAGACGGGGCGGCCGCACCAGGCAGCCCTGCAGCGCAGAGAGAAAGTGAAGCACCGTAGGTACCCATTTTCGGGCCCGGCGCCCTTTGTTCTAGATGTCAACGGCCGCCAGGGCGCAGAGGCTGAGACGTGGCTGCGCCGTGCCGCAGGGGAATTGCCTGAGGCCGAACGGCCCGCGGCTCGTGCAGCCCTGCGCTCGACAGTAGCCAACGCCCTGCAGGGCCAAATTGCGGAGCAGATCGCTCTGGCGACGGAGGACGCAGCGAGACTGGTTGCAGGGGCCGCCCCGAGCGTCCAGTCTTGACTAGCTGTGGCCCCACCCCACTTGCGTGCGGTTACTGACCCTCCTCTCCCCCCTCCCTTTCCCGCAGCCCTGATTAGTTGAAAAAAAGTCACATCTGCAGTGTGCAAGGTATCGCTCAGTTCCCTTGTCGCGCGCACAGTGCGCTATTGCAG